TGTGTGGGGGTGTGTGTGTGAGTGAGTGAGTGTGTGGGCCTGTGTGTGTGTGTGTGGGGGCATGCTGTGCTGTGCTGTGCAGTTGGACTTATCAGAGATGTTTCTTGTTGCTTTTCACAGATTAAAGCAGCCGAGGTCACGAGCACCATTTCCCACAATCCTTCACTACAGATCAGTTGAATGAAAGCGCACACACTGAAGCGCAGTGCCCGTCTTCACCTCACTTTGGATTACTGATCTTCTCTGGGGTTTGGCTGTAAGTAGACTTTGCTTTCACACATAGCTCATATAATAATGGCCATTCCAGCGGCTGCTTGTAGATTTTCGCCTTTCTTTGCTGTTTTCGTGTTAAACATCACACTAATGCATTAGCTTGAGTTTAAAATGAAGCATTCTCATGTTTCTGGATCCTAATCTGACGGTTCATGAAGTGGTCAAACATTTTTAATCTTCAAGATTTCTGTTCGTCACATGCACAGATACATAAAGAATGCGACCTGCAGTGAAATGCGAGTCTGGCCTGGACTGTGCGTGAAGTTTATAAAGGATAAACAGAGAAATAATAACGAAAACACAAGTAAACCTGCAGCGTGACTGAGACAGCGGTTAATAGTCGAATGTGCAGAAATAGGAAGTTGTGGGTGCACACAGTGATCAATGGCACATCTGACACTGAGTGCTTTAGCTGTGTCGAGGATAACTGCGGTCCTGTGAGCGTGTTTTCAGTCAGTCATCTCTGTGTTTTCTGTCTCTCAGACTCACAGAGGCACTCGGGGAGCTCATGAAGACTGAACGCGATGAAGACGCCGCGCAGGAAGGTGAGAGATTCAATTCTGCCCCAGTTCTTCATTAAATAAACAATTAAAGGTGGGGAATGGGGTAACACTTTATTTGAAGGTGTCCTTGTTACACATGTACTTGCTATTATAATAACAATAAATTATGCATAATTACATGCAAGTAACCCTAAGCCAAAGCCTAACCATATAGTAAGTTCTGTCATGATAACTCTCGGAGGGATTGGCATGGTAATGTACATGGCAATGTTAAAGGGATACTCAACCCCAAAATGAAAATGTTCTCATTAATCACTTACCCCCATGTCGGTCCAAACCCGTAAAAGCTTCGCTCGTCTTCGGAACACAATTTAAGATATTTTGGATGAAACCCGGGAGGCTTGTGACTGTCCCATTGACTTGCACTGTCAAGATCCAGAAAAGTATGAAAGCCATAGTCCATCTGCCATCAGTGGTTCAACCGTAACGTTACGAAGCGACGAGAATACTTTTTGTACGCGAAGAAAACTAAAATAACAACTTTATTCAACAATTCGTCTCCTCTGTGTCTCTCCGCATCACCGTAGCGCCATTTTGGAGAATATCCGCTGGACGCAAGCAGCGTACGCTCTTCTGTGTCGGCCAGAACTCTGTATTACATGATGTTAATTAATATTACTCCGTACTTAAATGTTTAATTACACTGTAACAAGGACACCTTAAAATAAAGTGTAACCAAAAATTTTGAACACTGGGTCTTCAGTAATATTGCTGGTCTGATGATAACTGACTAGACAATTAGAGAAGTTAACTAGTGAGTTAATCATATTTCAGCGGTGGTGCATAGATGTGTGTTAATGACTCTGCATTACAGATCAAGCCATATTTCTGATGGTCGATATAAAGCCAATATACTGTTTGTTTGATAGGATAACAGAAAAACCGATTGGCTGATGATATATTATCGTTATACAGGGCTTCTTGAACACTGACTAGCAGATCATGCATTTTTGCTCATTCCTGTCTGACGGTGATCGAGTGTGTGTAAAAGTGTGTTTCATAAGCGGCTGTCGTAACGCTCGGAGTTTACTGCCGTCGTTTCCTCGAGTTTTAATAGGCTCGTGATGTCATATCCATGTTTATGATGTGTCATATTCTCAGCTGAACTCACTGACTCGGTTGGGCTCTGCTGTTGTTATATTACAGGAGATCTGATATCTCGGGCTCATAAATGAGTGCAGTGGCTTGTTAACTGTGCAGGATGTTTCAGGCTTGATTAGCGTCTCGGTGTCCGAGGCTCATGGGACTGAAGCGTGAGAGTTTCTGAGCACTCTTGCGAAAGCTCTCCGGCTCCGTGTCTCATAATGAAGGTGGTGTGTGCTGTGTTTCAGAGAGAAGCCCGCAGGAGCCTGACCTCTACAGCCCTGTGTCTCCTGACCCGCAGCAGGAGCCCGTCTCCACCTACTTCGAGCAGAAGGTTCCCATCCCTGATGATGACGGAACAAAGGTACCTCGCCGACGGGAACATCACTCCATCCATCCTTTTGACTTCTTTGACTTTGCTTTTTTAATATCAAAACCAGCTTGTGTTTTGATTTAAATCATCTTTTGTTTCTCATCATATACACAAGTAAACCAAGTTGATGTTATGATAATAAGCCAGTAATACATAAGTGCCTGTAAAGCATCAGATGGATACTTTTACTTCAACATTGAATTTCAAAATGTTAAAGGAGTAGTTCACCCAAAAATGGAAAATCTGCTGAAAATGTGCTCGTTCTCAGGCCATCCGAGATGAACGTGAGTTTGTTTCTTGGTCTAGATTATAGCAGTGCAGTTTTATGAGAGTGACGGAGCTGTTATCAGGCACATATGTGTGTCAAAGGTCATGCACTAGAACACAAAGTGTTCTGTCAGATTGTGATGTTGGTCATCGTTACGCTCTAACTCATGAATCAGTCCAAGCACGAGATGGATCTTGATTTCCTCGAGCACAAAAAGAGGAAGAGACTCTGAAGAAGCAAATGGAAAAATAGACACATTCAAAATGTTACGAAAACAAGGTCCCGCGCCGTGGTCACCCCTCAGAGATCAAACAGATAATTTAGTGGGTACAGGATCTAACAGGCATGTTGTTGGTTTAGATGCAGTGATCCTCTCCACTTCCACAACCTCGATTCTTATAACAAAAACTACTTTCACATTCATTTCTCACACACTGCTGTTCAAAAGTTTGAAATAATTAAGAATTTTGTAATCTTTTAGTCTCGGACTGCATTGATATGTCCACACATACAATAAAAACAGTAATATTGAGAAATATTATTACAGTTTTCTCTGTGAATATGTGTTAAACTGTAATGTATTTCTGTGATGCGCAGCTGTATTTTCAGCATCATTCCTCCAGTCTTCAGTGTCACATGATCTTCAGAAATCAGTATAATATGCTCATGTTCGTTACGGCGCTATACACTGTGTTACCGAACACTGGCACTTGCCTGCTGTTTCTGCCGGCTGAGAGCTGCGTGTGTGTTAGTGACTGACGGCGCTGTGTTTGATGCAGGTGCCGCGGATCATCCTGTGGCTGATGGTGGAGCTGGCCATCATCGGCTCTGACATGCAGGAGGTCATCGGCTGTGCCATCGCCCTCAATCTGCTGTCAGTCGGCAGGTACATCATCATCATCATCATCATCATCACACGACTCACTTCATGTGTGCTTGTTTAGCATCTGTGTCCAATACACATCAGCTTCTCATGTGTGTGACACCAGCTGTACTGGGTTCAGTGGGTGAAGACTCCACATTAACCTTTTCCGCACATATTCAGTTAACATATATTGTTCAGAACTATTAGACTATCCTCAGGTCATCAGAGATCAGGATGAGTCTGTTAGTGTGTGCGCTTGTGTGAGCGTGTGTGTGTAAATGTGTGTATGTGTTTGTGTGTGTGTGTGAACCAGTTAAACAAATTATTAGGGCTGTCAGGTGATTAAAAATCTCATTAATTAATTATTCAATTGCATGACGTGCTGATTAATTCATCTAATTAATTGCACATCAGTTTTGGTGAGAAATAACCCCCAAAAGATAAAATCATTAT